ACCAAAAACTATTAGCAATGAAGGATGAGGGATTTACGGAAGGATCCGAACCCTTGACCTTACACACATGAGGCCGCTCGCTTCTCCACTACGCCATTGAGGCACGTGTGCAATGAGCTCACCCATCATTTAGATACTTGCTGAGCATTGGTGGTCTCGAGCAGTGGTCTGCTCAACAAGCCTCCATAATTCTGCTCGGAGAATCGTTTAGCAGATTTGAAATCAGTGTCCAAAGACGCATCAGCCGATGTACATCTCATTTCAAATGGCCACTTCGACCAAACATCCTTTCCTGGTGAGTTACAGATAGTAACACTGCGTTGAGGTGAAACGCTTCATTAACCTGGATTGTCGAGGAATAAAATAGAGACCAGCACAAACGAACAAGTTAAGCATTTTATGCACATAGATAGGTTTGGCGCGAACACAGTCTGCCTCATGAGTCGGTCTCACAATTTTGGTGGTGACCAATTCAGGACAGTTGGTTGCTCGTAACTTAGGATTACACAGAAGCACTGTTGTTAGGATACGGTTGTGGTGGAATGGAATGATGTTGGAGTCCGTTTGATGAGGTGTTGTGATGAAATTCTTGTTTCTCCTCGACTTCTTTTCGTGGCTCTTCCGGATCGATCAGAATTGTACGTCTTAGTTGTTCGCCACTTTCAGTACCTGAAAATTCACGGTATTATTGCACTGAGCTACTTCTTTGAACGCGCGCTATGCAGTCGCTATTCAGTCACCATCAAGTGGCACAGTCATCCTTCTCGTTCCTTTCTTTGGAAGCTAAATTTATCTGACGGATGTGAATCCATTCATTGACTTTTATACATAGACTGGTTGTTGAGGTGTTTTGGCCTTGCCCTCTAAATGCCGTATTCCAGATTCAAGCTAGATATTAATCGAATCTTTCCCAGGGATGAATTTCTATTAAAATCCGTTAGGCTGCGTTTATACTTTGCGGCAGCGTAGCGCTTCCAGCGTACGCCAGCGGCAGTGTCGGGGAAAGGATAGATATCGATCTAGCGTTCCCAGCGTCACCAGCACGCTGCGTACGCTAGCGGCACGCTAGCGCGCTGGCGTAGCGAGGGCACGGGAAGCATAGCTATCGATCTAGCTTCACCAGCGTTTCTCCAGCGTTTTCCCAGCGCTTGCAGCGACGGGCTAGACAGGGGTGGGCTAGAGAGTATTGTAAGGTAGGAGAGTAAATTTTGTAGGCTCTCTCACTTTAAATACTCTCTGGTCGCACTATGCCGCTTGCAGCGACGGGGCTAGACAAAGGGCTACCGAGGTAGGAGAGTAGCAATATACTCTCGCGTACTTTCAATACTCTCATAGCCCTCTCCATCGGAACAAAGTTTGGCGGCAGTGAGAGCGCCGACAAATAAGTGTGGTATGGTAGGGGTGGTGTGGCTCACCGTGCCTCAGCGCGGGCGGAGTATGGAAACGGCACCTGGGGATCACCCCTTCAGCCCTTCCCGTTCACTTATGATCAGAAGAAGTGCACGCTACTGTGGGGGGCAGCGGACCCACGTCACTCCCAACTACCGGCAAGGACCGTTTCCGCAGTTGGATGATTCGTGGCTGAAGCAGTTATGGAAGGCATGTTTAAAGACAGCTCCCGCGATAAAAGTGTCTTGGATAGTTGCTTTTCAATTATGAAACAGTAGCTGATAAGTAATCTCCCAAAGAAGAAAACAAGCAGGAAGCGTCCTCCAGAACAACATAAACAAAATCGCTCCCTCATAGTCACACTCGCTGCGGGTCTCTGTGGCAACGCCCTAATCTACTCTATCGCACTCTCGCAACATTAATCATACCAGTGTGGCAAAAAGGGATATAAAAAAAAGCAAAAACGCAAGGAAAAACTGCTTGAAGGAAAAAGAAAATTTTAAACTCGTGCGGATTTTTGGTTACGGCAGCTGTAGGCTATTTTAGTGCACTGAATTGGCGTCCGAGCTTTTGCACGCAAAAATGAAAATTGCGTCAGCTGGCATGATTTTTACGCGTTTCACCTCGCGAAATGGGTTGAGTTGAATGTATATGCCCCCACTGAGTAAACTGTAATAAAGGAGAGCAGAATTATCCATGGGCACGAGTGCGGTCAGCAAAAAGGAGATGCAATTCCGATTAATGCCCGCCGCCCCAACTAAGAACAACTGAGTGGCCTCGTCGGAGGGCATCTAGCAAGTAAGGCGGTCCAACTGAGCAGGCGTTAGAACTAGAACTTTGAGCGGCTGTAGCTCGCTCCCCGCTCACTGTGGAGTCGAATAGAGTGGGACAGTCTCTAGCTTGGGGGCTGTACTACTTGCACAAGGAAGGACGACCATGTACTACTCGAGCGCGGGGGCTGTCTTTAAGCAAAACGTCCGAAATGCAAGGGACAGTATACATGCCATATCAATTAGACGCCAATCTTCCCTATTAAAAAGTGTAGAAAGCCCGTCAAGGATTCAGAATGAACCAAGTTATTGTTGAAAATATAAGCTATAACAAAGTACAAACTAGACTAATATAAAGGCTTAAGAGTCAAGGATCCATTACAACAAATTACCCCGAAGAACAGGTAGGACTACCTCGTGTGTTCCATTCGTCTACTGACATACTGTGCAGATGTTGCTGTTGTTTCGAACGGAATTTCCAATCTTCGACGTAACATTGCTGAGCGAATTGCGGAAAGCACTGCCGGAACAGTTCGAGCCATTTGTTTTCCAATTCGGCTGAGCTGAAAAGAGTCACAGGAATACCAACAGTCCATGACCACTATGAAATTTTCAGATCTTACAAAACGGCTAAGAAAATGGTGCACTCACTACATATCCATGGGTTCGGCGTCGCTCTTATGAGCGTTTTGAACGTGCAGTTTCAGTTTTGAATGGAAGGCGGCCGTCGTTTCACAATGGGGGCATTGCCACTGAAATTATGAAATTAGTGAGGATTCAGAAAAAGACTGTCAGAGAAATCCCTCAAACAATTTGTGACTGAGAACTGGAGAATAATTAGAAAGGTCGAGTGTCATAGTAATAGGTTACACAGTCCCGTTCGCTACGCATGAAGAGGCGTGTCCGGCGGGATGGGTTTGGCCCGGCATCAAAGTCGTTCTCTACCTGTTGTTGGAGCGAGCAAGCGACAAGGCTGTATACTATTTTATATTGTTCGTATCAGTCGTTTTCCATCAATTGTAGTCGCTTACCCGTTTCAACAACTATTAGGTTGTCCGGAAAGTTCTTAGCGTTTTGTGCACCTAATTTGTACATTCACTGCTGATTAAAAACTCATTCTGCCTTGCTTCTCAGTAGCACATCCTGTAGAGAATTTCTTGCGCTATCTGATGGTATAATTGCCGTTTCACCATTGCTTGATAAACCCTCTTTTTTCAAGATTTTTTCAAGCATGTGAAAAGAGCACTTCGGACGATTTTTTTCGGCTATAAATTGGGGCAATCCGCAATCGAAACAGCTCAACAAATTAACCAGGTGTGGGGCCCAATAGTGCTAGAGAAAGCACTGTGCGGCAATGGCTCAACAAATTTCGTTCTGGAGATTTCAGCCTTGAGATGAACCTCATAGCGGTCGACCTAAAGCAATTCTGACGAGGATTTTGAGGGGATTTCGGAGGCTGATCTATCCCAAACAGTTCGAGAGATAGCAGAAGAGCTAGGCGTTTGCAAATCCACTGTTGCAGATGGTCTGGAACGCATTGGGAAGGTGAAAAAACTCGACAATTGGGTGCCCCACAATCGGAGTGACCGGCAGGAATCGGCACGTCTCGAGGTTCCTTCTTCACTGCTTTTGCGCAAAAGAATTGACCCGTTTTTGAACGGATTTGTCACCTGTGATGAAAAATGGATCATGTATGATAACAGGAGACGTTCCGGACAGTGGTTGGATTTGGAGGAACCACCGAGGTAATTTTCAAAGCCGAACCCTCGCGAAAAAAAAATTCTGGTCAGGTTTGGTGGTCATCGGCTGTTGTAATCCACTATAACTTTTCATCACCAGGCCAAACCATCACAGCAGAACCCTACTGTGAACAAACCGACCAAATGTACCGAAAATATTGTCAGCTGCAGCCAACACTTATCAAAAAGGGTCCGATTCTTTTGCATGACAACGCCCGCCCACACGTTTCACAAATCACTATCCATAAATTGAACGAATTGGGAGTTGAAGTTCTACCTCACCCACCATATTCTCTAGACCTTTCACCAACCGACTGTCACCTTTCAGACATTTTCAGAACTTCCTGCTGAGAAATACATTTACATCAAAACAGTGCGACCAAAGGCAAAAAAGACCTTCGCAGATTTCGTGGATTCTCGACCACCCAGTTTTTTCTTTGATGGGATTTCTCGACTGCTGCCACATTGGCAAAAGTGTGCTGATTCGAATGGTGCTTATTTGGATTAAATCCGATGAGTGTTAAAGTTATATCGTTTAAAGTTAAACACCCAAAACGCTAATAACTTTCCGGACAACCTAATACTAAAGAATACGTTTGCCGCCGCGCCAAATCCATCTCGTCGGACACGCCCCTTCATCAGCAACGAACCAGGCTATACGTTGAACTCTTGAATCATCGAATTGTGGCTGGTTCTCGTGCCAGTGATAAAGGCTACGTAGAATTAGCCCAATATTATGCCGCGGTTAAACAAGAAAACGGCAACAGTTTTTCGATGGATTCCGAGACGATTTTTCTAATAGGAAAGCTCGGGTTTGCTGCACCTTAGTTCATATTATAGAAAAATAAACCTAACAGTCATTGAAAGCCCCTGTCCCCTTTTTTCAAAAAGTACGGACCTGTCTTTGAGGGCAATGGGACTTGGCATGACCGACGAGCATTGTTCGCTTACTCTCCACTGGCGCTTTACACATCTGAAATATTTTGCTTTAAAAGCTATTCAAGGACTGCTGAAAATCTGGTATAGAAACGAAAAGGACACATTTCATTATCAAAGGAAACGCAGAGGGGTGGAGATGACGTAGCGGCTAGAAGTATGACGAGGTAACATAAGTCTCCTCGTTCGTTGGGTCGACTACCACCAAATAGGCCAAGCTTTCCAACCTTCGGCACTCAGAAGTGATGTACCGGTTGGTCACTGGATCTATTCTCTATGGCACTCAGAAACCTCTACAGCCAGTTGAAACAGTCAATCCTATAGCAAACTGAAAAGCGTGGCGCATCGAGATGGTATGCAAGTTGGCAATTACTCTTTGATTCCCATTTTTTTTCAAACTTCTTCGCGGAAGCGCTGCGCGAAAAAAATGAGTGGCTTAGTGCTCCTCGAGCTATAAGAATCACGCGTATACTCTGGCACGCAAAAGGGACAAATGGAGATGTCAGTGGCTCCCGCTTGAGAAGTTCGGAATTAAAGGTCCTTTTCCACCCTCCTCCCCGAATATGGTACCAGTCAAAAGATCGGGGGAAGTGGGAAGCTCGATTGTTCTGAGCACTGCTCTATCCAAAATGTAGCGACGGTGTCAACAACCATAGCCCCACTTCCGTCAAGTAACGCCTTACTGAACGTCACTATCATTATACCAATCTAGCTTCCTGTTCTGAACCGCACCCTCACTTGGTTTCCGTCCTGAGTGACTGTAAATCATGATTTTTCATCAATAAGCGTCTGGAACAAGTCGCATGGTCTCTTCGCATTAGAAATTCGGTACTGTTTCTGCACCTTATTCCGAACAATACCTGTGAGCAATCCCATTGAATTTGGGACCCACTTTCGCAAAAAACTGAATTACTTTTCAACTTTATTCGGTCAGAAACTTTCCTTCCAGAAAGCCAAAATCCCACAAAAAAAAATGAAAGTTCCTTCACTTACCGCGCACTCCACTCTACTTCCGAATCGTTCGACAGATAACGCATTATGATTTTTCCGTATAGGAGATGGTTTCTATAAGTAGAAAGGCAAAATCTCTTCGAAATCAGTTAACACAAATTATAGAGGAACTTACAATAGGGAGAGGAGCATGCTGATTGTTTAGCAATTCAAGGAATATCGTTTGGAATGGATCTGGTAACATCGGAGTCTCTTCGTTGAGCGGTGCCGGAGGCTAAATTGCAAACGCTCATTAGGGGATATGGAACTTTTTACTCAAAAGTGCTGGAAAGTTTATAAAACACAGTCGACCTATACGATAAACAGATTCCGACCGGATTCCAAACAAAATCGCAGGCGGTGGGGGGGGGGGGGGGGGGTGCTGTCGGCTAACTTATCTTACCTCTTGCACATCTTAAGCCCGCGATGCAAGTTGACTCTATGATGAAAAAAGCACCAGCCTTCACATCAGCCTGTAGACGTTCACCTTAATAAAGGGAAGAACCTTCAATGGGCACGCCCGGAGGAAGGCACAACCCTTACTAAAGTCCGCCCATCCCATCACCACGGAACGTGCCCGTGACAAAAACTATTTACCCAGCAGAAAGGGGAATGATGTTTTTTTTTAGTTTTTGCGGGAATTTTTGGGCATGGGTCATGTGAGTGCTATCAACGGTTCTTCACGTCCAGTTGGAACGCAACAGTGCCCTCTACAGTCTTACTGAGAAGATCCTCTTCAGCTTCACCCTCTACCGTTTTACTGACAAGATCCTCTCCGGCTTCAGAGGACTACTTTGATGTTGCCTCTGTGCTGTCTCAGAGACAAAAACTCTCCCTATTTCCATACGCATAACCACTCTGAACACTTATTCACCGTCTTCGGGTATACCTCGAAACCCCCTTATGCCCTCAGACATGGACAGTATGATTCGCCCAAACCATGACCCGTTGCTCTAGAACACAGCATGCTTGAAAGTTGCGAGTAAGCGAGTAAATTCATTCTCACGGACGATTCTACCTCTTCTCTCTCAAAAGACTACACCGGTGTATCAGAGTTCGATGAAAATGGACATACTTTGGGTGGTTTGAGGTCAAAACATGAGGTAGAATCAGCGACAGTGTTATCAGCAACTGTGTCAGAAAGCGAATTGAGTGAGGTCGGCACTGAGAGCAACACGGATGGATTGAGTTGTCGGAAACCATAGAGCATTTCGTCAACTTCGTCTTCGGGCAGCAAGGCTGAAAAAAACGGTTTTCTAATCAAGGGTGAAGGACAATGTACAGGTACTGAATTCCGGTTCTTGATTAACCATTCAACCGCATGATTGAGATATTTCACCGTAGATGGGGCAATGGGGAAGGCGGTGAGAAACAATTATCCAGGGTCATGACGGGAGAGGAGGGATATCATCTGCCCTCACAAGTTCACCTCGGCAGTTTTTCAACGCAGACATTCCAAGCCAAATACTATCCAACCGTCCCATTTGAAGAATATGAGCATACCAGACGGAGGTGGTGTAGTGAGAAGCGGCGCGCTCACCATTCGCGCGGTCCCGGGTTCGAATCCCGGGTCGACTCCCGCCCAGGCCAACCAAGCCTTCTACCCTCCGGGGACGGTAAATTGGTACCAGATTCGTCTGGGAGGATAAAACACTGACTTGTACATCGGCTGGCCACCGCAAGTCATTGTATAGGCCACATCGCATTCAATAAGCCACTACGATTCTGAATGGAAGTAGAATGCGTGCCGCATCCCACAAAGGGATTGATCAACGGCGAAGACTTTATCCTTATCCTTTATGAGCATACAACCTTTGCTGTCGTGAGATAGCAGAACTCTGACCTGCTTTGTGTCTTTTAGTCAGCTCAAACCGCTACCGTGCCCAACTCACCTGCAATATCCGGGAAAAGTTCTCTGATGTAGAGGTAGGGTTTACTGTGTGAGGCTACAGTGAGCATTTGAAGGCATGGCGTTTCCGGATGTTTGATAGACGCGTGAACTCGAACTTTCCACTGAAATATCATGACTGGTAGGGCAGAAAATTAAGAGCAGAGAGTAGAAGAGAACAAGGCAAGTACTTCTTCGACGCTGGTGTACTTGCAAATCCCACACTGGTAAGGTCGTCCGCTGCTGTGCATCGTCTTTACGTGATCTTCGATGCTGTGCTTGTTGAGGGCCAC